ATTTTTAAAAGATTAAGTTTACGAAGTAATAATATATATATATATATATATATATTGATATGTTGTTAATTAAATTGTAAAAACGAAAACACTTGAATATAAGAAAAAAAAAAACTCTTAACATCAGAAGCTCATTTCTCGTATACTGATTTATATCATGCAGTTTTAATAACAACACGGGAAAAAAAATTTAATGGTCATGATTCATCCGATCCAGCCAATACTTGAAAGATCATGCAGCTGACGATTCATTCATGCAAATTTCAGACCGTCAGATTAGCATACCAACAGGAATCAAATGTAAAATAGAACGTAGGGTTAGGAACATGCAGACATGAAAAGGCACGAAGCAACGGTAGGTTATTAATTTTAGCGGTTAAACTGCGAAACCCGAGTTTCCCGCGGAAACAAAGAAAACAGACCCATTTCAGAAAATACACAAACAAATTCACTAATTCTTCTGTTTCTCTCCATTTCCTCTCTATATCTCTGCTATCCTATAAAAATTCTATCTTTGTTACTGCATTTTCTCTCCTCTAGGAATCCCATCTCTCTCCCGGTCCAATTTGCTTAGATCAGATGGTTTTAGGTGTGTATCTTCAATTTTTCTATGATATCCATTTGGGATTTTGGTTTTCTTTTGTATATGTCAGATTCTGCAATGAATTGTAAATGGGTTGTCTTGATCCCTCAAGATCAACCCTTTTTCTTTTTTGCCTCATTTCATCTTATTTTCTTTCAATCTAAACATACACTGTTGATTTCTTTGGATTGTTACGTGTTTATTTCATAAAAAAATTATGGGTTTGTGTATGGTTTTGGTTGTAGGAACGGTTTTCAATTAGGAAACTGGGAGAGGGGTTTTTTTTGCTTCATGAGGATTTGCGATTTGTTGTGCCAACATCTTGAGCTATGTTTTGCTGCGGAGGCGAGGAGGATGAAAACAACGGTCCACCTGCGAACCAATATCAAGCCCCACCTAAAGGGAATTCATGTGGCGCTGGTAATTTATTCCAGTCCTCCTTTCAATCTTCTCAGGCCAATTAACATTGACTTTATGATGTTTGGTGTAATGCCTCACTGAATTTGTACTCCTCGTGCGTTTCAGGCGGTGGGAGAGGAGAGCCAAAGAGTTCCAATGTAGCTAAAAGTGGAGGGGCTCCTCAAAAAGTCCTTCCCATTGAAATTCCATCCATCTCATTAGATGAGTTAAATAGGTTGACTGGAAATTTTGGACAAAAGGCTTTGATTGGAGAAGGTTCTTATGGCCGGGTTTTCTACGCTACTTTAAGTGGTGGACAAGCTGTAGCAATAAAGAAGCTGGATGCCAGTACTTCTCAGGAGCCAGACAATGATTTTACAGCACAGGTAAAGCCCTTTCAAAATTTTCTTGAGTTTCCTTTTTGTTTCATTTTTTCCTTCTTTTTGATAGCTAATTTTCAATGCATTTTCATGGTTACTATCAATCTTGTAGTTATCAGTAGTTTCAAGGCTTAAGCATGAGCATTTTGTGGAGTTGATAGGATATTGTTTGGATGCAAATAACCGAATCCTGGTATATGAGTTTGCAACAGTGGGTTCTTTGCATGATGTGTTACATGGTATGGCCAGTTTTATACTGATATCTTGACTTTCCCTTTTTGAAATACCTATTCAGTTCTTGTAATCTTCTGTACAGGAAGGAAAGGTGTACAAGGAGCTGAACCTGGTCCAAATCTAAGCTGGAATCAAAGAGTTAAAATTGCCTTTGGTGCAGCTAAAGGCCTTGAATATCTGCACGAGAAGGTTCAGCCTTCCATTGTTCATCGTGATGTCAGATCGAGCAATGTCCTACTTTTCGATGACTTTCTGTCTAAAATTGCTGATTTCAACTTGACAAATCAATCTTCTGACACAGCAGCTCGACTGCATTCAACTAGGGTCTTGGGTACCTTTGGTTACCATGCTCCAGAGTAAGTCTTCACATATACCTTGAGACCTCTCATGGAGTTTGAAGATCAGGAGGTTTGGCTCTATATTTTGAGCTCCTTCAGAGGATAATCGTAAGGACCTGGGTTTAAATCTCCCTGCTTCTGGCCGTTAACCCTTTTGTATTGCAATCTCCAAGTCCCAAAAATCAGATTTGAAGAGTATCAAGATGATCTACAAACATTGAAGAAAGTTGATACTATTTAGGCTAGATGACTTTGAGTTCTTAATGGATAAATTATGCCAAACGTAATGAAGATTTTCCTTGGGCTTGGTTTGCTTGTGATGTAGGAACTAGGAAGTTACTAATAAAAGCAAAGTGTGATGTTCTGATCTAATACTAAAATATTTCAGTTTCCATTTCTCTGACTTCACTTCTTCTTGAGCAGGAATTAACATATTTCTGTTGCCATTTATCTGACTTCACTTCTTCTTGAGCAGGTATGCTATGACAGGGCAGATAACGCAGAAGAGTGATGTCTATAGTTTTGGAGTAGTTCTTCTTGAGCTCTTGACCGGAAGAAAGCCAGTAGACCACACAATGCCCAAAGGACAGCAAAGTCTTGTTACTTGGGTGGGTCTCTCTTCCTACTTGCTTTGCTTACTTTCTTGCCTTTTAGATGTGCCTCTAATGTATCTTCAACACTGCAGGCAACTCCAAGATTAAGCGAAGACAAGGTGAAGCAATGCGTGGACCCCAAGCTAAACAATGACTACCCACCAAAGGCAATTGCTAAGGTTATCTCTTGTGCTACAATACTTTCCTAGAGTACGACCCCTTGAGAATTTTCGGGTTATTTTTGCATTTAAATCTAAATTACATCTTGGTGTTGTGCATATATGTCAATGCTTACAGCTAGCGGCGGTTGCAGCGCTTTGTGTTCAGTATGAGGCAGACTTCCGGCCAAACATGACAATTGTTGTCAAAGCTCTTCAGCCTCTTCTCAATGCAAAACCAGCAGGACCAGAGACTCAAGCATGATATATATGAAGAGTTGTGCAAAGCAAAACCATTGGATGTGGGCAAACCCAATATCACAAGGGCTTGTCGCTCCTCATTTAATGATTTAAATTATACAGTTTAAATTGTAAAAACATTTCTTTATATATATATAAATTACAACCAAAAAAAAAAAATAAAAGCAGTCCATTTTTTTAATACAGCAATGCTTGACTCATGTAATTCGCAACTTTTTTCCTCAAACGTGTAATTTTCCATTCTTGATCAAATACTACCCTAGAAGGGTTTATCTTTACTAACAATAGTCATTAATTCTTGAACAATCAACATTAGAATGTTTAATTAATTTATTGTAAAACATTTTCCATTGGACTCGATTGGGAATGAATTAAAAAAAAAAAAAAACAGATGTTCGTGGTTTGCCTGCTTTTGTTTATATCACCCACATTTTTTGGTTCAATTAAGCACTCAATGTTTTTCAATAACTTAATGTTATTTATATAATTTTGCATTTAATAAGTAAAAAACAAAAAAATATAACAAGAACTATATATCTTAACTAATACCTCCTTCCAAAGGTGAGAGTACTGTAATTGCACCGAACCAGAAGTCCTTCTTTAATCCGCGTCTGCATTTCGGGATGACTTGCAAAGCCCCGAGGTGAAACTCGGGGTAGACACTCTGATACTTAAGTCAGCAATAATCAGGGCTACCTTTAGAGCGGAGATAAAAAGAGCTTAGGGTTGGTTTCAATTACCTTTTGACGTGGCCCGGGGGGGGTATTTATAGGATCCAACGAGGAGTCCACGTGGCATGCCAAGCAAGATAATCAGAGCCTGACGTGTCTACCCAGACGATTATTTCGGGACCGAGAATTTGAGAAGTATTCAGGTGCAAGGATGTCCACCTTAATTGCTGTGCAGCTCATCATAAGGGATTAGGTGCGGGCATGCTCATTGTCACTGTCATGCAGCTATTTGAGCAGGAAGCTTTAGATTTATCCTTCACTTCGGTCATAAAGGAATTACTGTATTAATCCGAGACTTGGCACCTCGGACCTGTCCTTACACTATTCCCCCCCAAAGTCATTCACTTGTGAATGATATTGTTGGGGGATAGTGAGGGGAGTGCATAAACAAAGAGAATTATGGATAAATCATAGAAGTAAATGGAAGAAATAAAATTTGTAATTCAAATATATACATAGCTGTAGCTAGTAATGAAATATGTGATAGTGGGCCATACCGGGGGTGTTTGAGATAAATTATGACCGAAGCGATTATGGCCGTGGCCGTGGCAAAAATAATGTAACCAAAGCCGTGATAAAAACGATGACCGGAGTCATAGAGGTCGAAGCAGTGATGGAAAATGATGACCGGAGTCATAATGACCGGAATCGTAATAAAATATGATGACCGGAGTCATAATGGCCGGAGCCGAGGTAGAGTATGTGACATGTAGTCACAATAACTAGGACCGAAGTAAAACATGTGTTTCTGTGGCCGGAGTTGAAGTAAGACACTGCCAATTAAAAAGTGCAATTGTAAAAGTAAACAGAAGTGCTGAGCTATGCTTAAGTATAAAGACGGAAGTCAAAATGGCCGGAGCCATAATGAAATATAATGACCGGGGTCATAATGGTCGGAGCCGAAATAAAATGTGTGATACTGGATCATTGTGGTCGAAGTCGATGTGAAATGTAATGCAAGATTATTATAGTCGGAGCCGAGGTGAAACACTTGCAAAATTGAGAATATGCAAAAGTGAACAAAGGTGTTGAAATGGGCGTAAGTGGGCCCGTTTGAAAAGTCTGACAGGTATCCGTGGAATGACGTGTGTAATTAATGTAGCCGTAAAAAGATAACTGGCAACTACAACAGTTAAATGGGAAAATTTTAAAAAACGAACCGTCGAATTCAAAACGGTACCGTTTGGGGTTGGCCGTTGAATTCCAAACGGTGTTAATAGGAACCGTAAGATTAAACGAATCTCAGCCGTTGAGATCTAATTTTGCCCAAAGGTATAAACAGGCATTTTTTCTGCAGAAATAGGTTTACTTGCATTTCGAAAGAGGTTTACTTGCATTTCTTTTCCTGCAAAACTTCTGCGAAAAGCTTTATTGTGTGTTTCCTGTGCGTGAACTGCGGTATAATCTGGGGATCTCTACATCAAGTCTTTCAAAACCGAAATCAGGTAATGTATACGAACCTCTTATTTTGACTTAATCGAAGTGTCTCTCTTCTTTCTCCCTTTCTGTGGTTGATTTAGAGTCCTTTGAAGGAAGTTAGGGTTAGAGGTGAGAAAGATTTTGAACATGCAACAGAGGGTTTTCTCTCCCTTTTTTTTTTTTTTTAAAGATCCTGACTTATTCCTCCCTCCGACTTCGTGCAGAGTTTGAGAAAATATCCTCAAAAGGAACAGTAAGTATAGTAGGGAGTGAGGTGATGCCCCTGGACTATGGGAGCATGGACTCAGAGAGTAGTCCATCTCCTTCTAGTTCGGAGAAGACAATAGAGGGGGTGAGGGGAGATGAGGTGGTGGAGGTTGGGGGGAATGAGGTGGTAGGGTTTGGGGGAGATAACATACCCATTACAGTAGTAGAAGTAGAGGGTAGAGGAAAGAGGGACTATGATGTAAATGCAGAGATAGTGGAGGAGGTAAAACAGTATAGATCCGAACTAAGGACCAAGGATAGCCTGGGTCACTTAGTGGAAAATTACGAGATCTCGTCTCGAGTATTAGTTAGGCCAGCCGGGGTAGAGGAGAGAGCATGTTCTACTCCTCAGGATCATTGGATGCCCATATATTCCCACTATCTGATAGCGGGATTGAGGTTTCCAATTCCTGAGTTGCTAGTAGGTTTGTTGTTAGATTATAATATAGGGTTGACACAATTAGTCCCCAATGCTATGAGGGTAATAATAGGATTTTTAGTTTATTGCCGAGTTCAGGGGATTAATGTGCCAACAGTAAATATGTTTAAGTATTTTTTTTTGTTTTAAAGGGGGGTATTAGGAGGGATAAGGGGTGGTATTATTTCACCCCTAGGGTAGCAAATAGGGAGAGTAGAGCGTTATTTACGGCGGGTCCTTCATCCATTAAAGGATGGAAGGAAAAATTCTTTTTTGTAGATGATACGGAGTGGGATAGGGGGGATGCCGAGGTGAGGGAGTTAGCATCCTGGAAGGCTACAAAAGCCAACCAGATAGGTTTAATTTAAACGAAGATGAGGAGGAAGAAGTGAGGAAGCTGGTGAAGAAGGGGGGGATTTACTAAACATTATGGACCTCACCAGCGCACAATGCATAGAAGCTGCTGAGCTCTATGGGCCAAGCGCTTTAAGTGAAGGTTGGTTTAGTTATGCATTGTAGTACTGGATGTGTGTGATTAACATTGTGTGTTCTTGCTTTGCAGCTGAAATAGATCAGTTTTTGAACACGGCTGGAGGAGTGGCTATCCCCAAGAAGCCAAGGAAGAAGTCAAAGACTTCAACCAAGCAAGTGGATGAGGGGAAGGCCAGGAAAGAGGTAGTACCCGCGACTTCAGCTGAGACAGAGAAGGAGGCACTGTAGCTGAAGAGGAAGGGTTGGGAGGAGAGGAGGGCACTGCAAAAGAAAAAAAGGGTGGTGGAGGAGGAGGAGAAAGGGAATGAGGTACCTCAGTTCGTACCTCAGCCTCCTCCTGTTGAGCTAGGGCCTGAGCTCAGACAGTTGGAGGAGGGGGCTGAGGTACGAGCTCCTGGTAAGGGAAAGGGCCCTGTTCCCCCAGTGGCGTCTCAAAGCAGCCTGTTCGAAACTAAGAACATGACGGGGGCTAGGTGGTTCATCAACAGCACCTTCCCCAAAGTGGACAAACGCAACACGCGGGATGAGGCTCTAAGATATGGCGGAGCATCTGTTGTGAAGCACGTTTTAGAGGTATGTTACATTATTGGTGTTGTTTATTTAATTTGTTTCCTCCTCTTTCCTTTCTCTCTTAACTTCTGCGGTGATTTGCAGAGCGCGAGCTGGGTGAATGGTCTAGCCCAGGAGTTCATGGATAGCATGAGGGAGCGCTCACTCTTGTAGAGGCAGTGTGACCAGCTGCAAAAGGAGAAGGAGGAGCTGGAAAAGAAAAATAAAGAACTGTAAGAGTCGTTGAACGAGGTGGTTCCAACTGTGAAACAGTTGGAGCAGGATAGGGCTTCCCTGAGCACCAAGCTCGTCTTTGAGGAGAGCAAACGTAGGCTCTCTGAAAGTGAGCGTGAGGCTTAGGCGCAAGATATAAGGTTGATGAAGGAGGCTTTCGTGGAGCTCAAGGAGAATGTGCAGACCTTGGTGCACAATGGAATGAAGGAGCACATCAGCAACTTCATCAGCTCCAGCTCGTTTGACAACATCGTCAACTTGTACCGGCTGCCCACTGCCATCATTACATTCACAGGTTGCAGGAAGAAGGTGAAGGCAGAATATCCCGAAGTGGATATTACGAAGATCACCTTCGCAGAGCAAGAAGAAGGAGTGGAGGAAGATGGTGAGAGCATGTCAGCAGACTTCCGTCCTCAGATCAAACTGAGGTGGGAGCATGATGCAAACGGACGTGCTGTTTTCCCTCCACAGTTCGACTTCGAATTCGTTGCAATGGAGGAAGAATGGGCAGAGGTAGAGGAAGACAAGGTGGAGGCAGGAGTGGAGGGAGCTGAAGTGGATGAGAGCCAACCAGTTCCAAAAGTGGAGATTCATCCAGTTCCTTTCGATGATGAGCAGCCTCCTCTGCCAAACGAGCAGCAGCCAACACAGCCACCTCATCCAGCTAAGTAAGAGCCAGTGGAGCCACCTCTCCCAGCAGAATAATTTTGTTTTTTAATTTTTTGTAAAAAAACATTTAAACAATTTGTAATACTGTTATTATTCTGAATGAAAATTCATTTTTGAAATCACATGTTTGTTTGAGTTTACGTTTTTGTTATTATATATGGATAGAAGAAATGAGACTACTGTAAAAAGGAAAGTTAATCATTTCAAAAATAAAAGAAGTTAATCACTGCAGAAATGAACTAAATAGAAGTTAAGAACAAGTACATCACTGTAAATGAATTGAGGGGGGATAAAGCACTTCAAATGTGAAGTGACATTTATTAACAGAAGTGAGGTTCAAGGAATGAATGAACTGATTGACCTCAGATACATAGAATAAGGGGTAAAATGAATCTTAATAAACACGAAGTGAAAAACGTAAAGAACAATAAGACATAGATTACTTGAAAAAATTTTATTAGGGGTAAAATTTCTTCAAGTTATTGACATTCCAGACTCTAAGAACTCTCTTTCCTTCAGCATCTTGGAGGACATAGGCACCGGGATGTGGCACCTCGACCACGGTATAAGGGCCTTCCTAATTCGCGGCGAGTTTGCCAAAACGAGTTTCAAACCCTGTTAGGCCAGCTTTTTTGAGAACAAGGTCTCCTACTTTGAATGTTCGAGGGCGGACTCATTTATTATAGAAGTTGGCTAGTTTTTGCTTGTATACAAGAGTTTGAAGCCGAGCTTCTTCTCTGACTTCAACAAGCAGATCAAGGTTTTCCTGAAGCAGTTGTCCATTTCGTCCTTCATCGAAATGGGTGACCCGGAAGCTTGGGACTCCTATTTCAATAGGAATGACTGCTTCAGTACCGAAGGCGAGATGATAGGGTGTTTCACCTATTTCAGTTAATTATAACTTTAGAATGCGCTTTATGCATTATGCATATTTGCTCTAAGGTAAAGCGTAACAAAAGAGGTAAGATAATATGGAAATTAATCAAATAGACTCGGTTTAAAGTAATACCTGTGGCAGTTCGGCTCGTGGTTCTGTATGCCCAAAGGACGTTGTTGAGCTCGTCTGCCCATTTGGTCTTATGTTGTTATAATATTGACTTTATACCTTCTAAAATGCATTTGTTAACAGATTCAACTATGCCATTGGACTCCGGATGATAAACGGAGGTGAACTGTAACTTGATCCCATAACTGGAACAGAAATCTCGGAATGAGGAACAATTGAATTGAGTTCCATTATCAGCCACAATCTGATTCGGGATCCCATATCTGCAGATGATTGAGCTGAAAACAAAGTCTTCGACCTTCTTGGAGGTAAGACTAGATAATGGCCGAGCTTCAACCCATTTTGTGAAATAATCCACATCAACAACCAAATGGGTTACACCACCAACTCCTTTCACGAATGGGCCTAAAAGATCTAGTCCCCACTAAGCAAATGGCCACGGTGCTACCAAGTTCATGAGCTCTTCTGCTGGTTGGTGGTGAGTCAGATGTGCGAAGAATTGACATTTTGGGCATTTCTAAACAAAGTGAGTGGCATCTTTGTACATGTTTGGCCAATAATATCCCTGCCTTAAGACTTTGTGAGCTAGAGTTCTAGCACCAATGTGGCTTCCGCAGATACCTTCATGTACCTCCCGAAGTGCATACTCAGCTTCGTAAGGGTTTAAACACCGTAGAAGAGGAAGTGAGAAAGATCTCTTATACAGGACCTCATCAACGAGTGTATACCGAGATGCTTTCTTCCTCAATTTCATTGCCTCTTGCCTGTCCTTAGGTATTATCCCATCGCGCAAAAAGGAGACGATTGAATCAGTCCAGCCCAGCGTATCAGGGTTTGTGCTAATCTCCATCATCCGAGGCTTCATGAAGCTTGGTTCATCTAAGACCTCTACAAAAACGGATCTGGAACTTGAAGAGCTATCAGAGGCAAACTTGGAGAGTGAATCTGCTTGTTCATTCTCAGTTCGGGGAATTTTGCTCAGACAGAATTTCTGAAATTTGCATTTCAGCTCGGCCACCAAGGCTGCATATTTCACCATCACAGGATCAACAATTTCACAGATTGAGTTGATTTGGTTCACCACCAACTAGGAGTCACTGTATACTTGAATTGCACTGATTTTCAACTCCAATGCTAGCTGTAGACCAAGTAGCAGAGCTTCGTATTCAGCCATGTTATTTGTTGCATCAAAGTTGAATTTCAAAGAATGCTCACTTCGATAACCCTCTGGACCAATCAAGAGAGCGCCAGCTCCTAAACCCTTGCTACTAGATGCCCCGTCAACATATAAGGTCCACTCGTTGGGCTCTGGATGAGAGGTTGAGAGACATGGAGTGCATTCGACAATAAAATCTGCTAATGCTTGAGCTTGGATGGCCGATCTCTGCTGAAACGTTATCTCAAACTCCCCCAGTTCCACTGCCCACTTAATTAATCTTCCAGAGCACTTTCGTTTCTGCAGAATTTGCCTGAGAGGTTGATCTGTGAGAACGATAATTGGGTGTGACTGGAAATATGGCCTCAACTTCCTGGCCGAAGTGACAACTGCTAATGCTGCTTTCTCAGCTATAGGATACCTCAGCTTTGCCCCATGCAGTACACTGCTGATATAATAGATTGGTTTCTGCTGCTTGGTTTCTTCTTTTACCAGAACCGAACTAATGGCTTCATCTGAAATTCCCAGATACAAATAAAGAATCTCTCCATCTATAGCCTTAGTCAGTAGAGGTGGCAAGCTAAGGTAAGACTTTAGTTCGTCGAATGCAGTTTGGCATTCTTGACTCCATTCAAATTTCTTCTGTTTTCTTGATTCATCCTTCTGGGCGGCTGACCTCATAATTTTGAAGAATGGCAGGCACTTATCCACTGACTTCGATATAAATCGATGAAGAGCTGCCACCCTTCCTGTCAACCTCTGTATATCTTTTACTGATTTCGGCGATTCCATTTCAGCAATTGCTCTAATCTTCTCTGGATTGACCTCAATCCCTCTTCGGGACACCATGAAACCTATAAACTTTCCCGACTCCACTCCGAAGATGCATTTGGCTGGGTTTAACCGCATCCTGTTCTTTCTGAGGTTGCTGAAGGTTTCGTCAAGGTCAGCTAGATGGTTTTATGCTTTCAGGCTCTTTACCACGATGTCATCAACATACACCTCCAGATTCTTGCCAATCTGAGCTCGGAAGACAATGGTTACCATTTTCTGATAAGTAGCACCAGCATTCTTTAAGCCGAACGACATCATGACATAGCAATAGATTTCATCACCAGCATAAAACGAGGTTTTCTCTTCGTCTTCGGGAGCCATCGGCACCTGGTGATACCCAGAATATGCGTCCAAGAGGCTTAACCTCTCATTCCCTGAAGCCGCTTCAACTAATTTGTCAATGCTCGACATCAGATAGCAATCCTTGGGGCAAGCTTGGTTAAGATTTGTGTAATCAATGCACATTCGCCATTTACCATTTGCCTTCTTTACCAGAACTAGGTTAGCTACCCATTCGCAGTAATCAACTTTTCTGACGAAACCAGCTTGTAAAAGTTTCTCCACCTCTTCTTTAATAGCCTGAAGTCTCTCCCCCCCAAAGAGACGTCGCTTCTGGGCCACTAGTTTCTTCAATGGATTGGTGCTGAGCTTGTGTTGAGATACTGAATTGGGAATTCTTGGCATATCTGCCGAAGTCCATGCGACTACATCATTGTTAGCTCGGAGAAAAGCTATTAGCTCTACTCTTTCCTCTGAGTTCAATCTAGTTCCGATCTGCGTCTTTCGACTCGGATCTCTGTCATCAATGAGCACTTCTTCAACATCTTCGACCGGAGCAGCCCTGGTTTTATCTTCCGGTCGATTATCCACAATCTCTACACCAATAACTTGCTGATTATCAGGAATTCGCTGGGGAATGGCCTCGGGTGTTTGATCTTTGCCCTTCGTTGGTTGTGTTACCGAGGTGATATAACAATGTCTGGCCACCTCCTGGTTTCCTCGCAGTGTTGCTATTCCCGTAGGAGTTGGGAACTTCATGCAGAGGTGAGATTGGGAAACCACATCTCGGATTTCTGTCAATGTGGGTCGGCTAATAACAATGTTGAAAGAGGATGCCATCTTGACGACGAGGAACCGGACTAAAGGGGTTACGTAGGTCCGGCCACTACCAAAAGCCACATGGATGGTAAGAACTCCTTCTACAGGAACAGGTTGGTTGTTAAAACCATAGATGAGACCATCATATTTCTGCAACAATGCCGGATCCAGCCCGAGACTCTCGAAACAGTGGAAATACATGATATCTGGTGCACTCCCGGTGTCGACAAGGACACGCTGTACTTCACAGTTGTTAATCATGACAGAAGTGACCAGGGGATCATTGTGGGGTGTAACAACTGTATCAACATCAGCAGATGTGAAAGTAATGGGTTGATTCTTCCACTCAGCACCGTCAAACTTCCGTTTCTGAGCTCGGTTCTGATGCTTAACTTCTCTGACATACAGCTTTCGCTGTTTAGAGCTCAGTCCACCTGCTTCCAGACCTCCTGTGATCATGTGTATGATTCTAGCTGGTGGTGGGAGTGGAGGTGGATTTTGTTGATATCCCACACCTTGCCTGTTTGGTGGGTTACGGGTTCCTTGAGGCTGTGGCCCTTGTTCTCTGACAAATCATGGCTGTGCAGCTCTCTGAACATATTCATTCAGCATTCCCTTTTGGGCTAGGCTTTCCAGCTCGGACTTTAAGCTGTTACACTGCTCTGTAGTATGGCCGTGATCCTGGTGAAAATCACAATATCTGGTATGATCTCGGCTAGCAGCAGCAGTTTTCATTGGGCTAGGACGCCTTAAATCCATTTTATTCTTAATCTGCATAAAAATTTGTGACCTTGGCAAATTAAAGGGAGTCCAATTAACTAGAGGTTTACCTGCAGATTGTGGCAGAGGTGTTGAGTTCGGCCTTCCGAATCTTGGTGCGGAGGTTGGTATCGGACCTCGGTTCTGCGCCATCATCATCCTTTTCCGACTCAAATTGTCATCTCTCCATTCTGGGTTCTGGTTCTTAGAAGGAATCGAATTCTGCGCCAAGGCATACTCTTCAGCGGTTATAAATTTCAGAGACCTATCATTCACCTCGCTAAAGGTAGTGGCAGCATGTTTGATCAAACTGTCTCTAAACCTGTCATGTTTAAGACCGGAGATCACAGCTGCAATTACCACAGCTTGATCAAAGGAGCTGACCTCCAATACTGCATCATTGAACCTGCTCATATAGTTTTTTAGAGATTCTTCATCCCTCTGTTTAACTCACATCAGCTTAGAAGTAGTTTTCCTAATCAACCTTCTACTGGAAAACTTAGTTGCAAAGGCAGATGCCATTTCTGTATAAGAGCTAATTGACCTCAGAGGTAAACTGTAATACCAAGTTCGGGCATTACCTCGGAGAGTAGAGGGGAAGATTTTGCACATCAACGCGTCAGAGGCGTTCTGAGCTTGCATGCAAGAGTAGAAAGCATGCAGATGATCATCAGGATCCTTTGTCCCGTCATAAGTCTCCAGTTGTGGTATTTTGAAGCCAGCAGGATAGGGTTCCAGTGTAATGTTGGTGTTCAGGGGATGAGGTATGGAGTCAACAGCATGGTGTGGGGGTGGAGCACCTCGGTGTTCAGCTACTAACTTTTCTAAGCTATCGAGGCGTCGAGTGACATCATCAAGGAGGGGTTGTTGAGCAGGTGCTATGTGGGATTGACCCTAAGATTCACTAATAGCGGGAGCATGCTGAACCAGTTGGGGATTCTGTTGTGGAGCTGGGGGTTGTTGAGCAGGGTTCAGTAAATTAATAAAGGGATCACCGGGATTGTTTCTAGCTAAAAGCTGAGCCAGTACCAACTAAAAAACACCGAACTGTTGTTGCATGGCAGCAAGCTGAGCTGCCACTACGTCTTAGTTGGCAGTGGAAGTTGAATTGTGAGCTGAGGTATGAGGTTGATTTTCATCTCCTCCTTCTGCATGATCAACAGGAGGGAACATAATGGGGACCTGAGGTGGAAGTTGAGGTGTAAGTTGAGGTGGGAGTTGAGATGGGATCAGGGGTGGAAGGTTGTTGTGTGGTTGACCTTGCCCTTGAGGCGGAGATGAATTACCAGCTCAAACTGATCGAGTGTGAACCATGATGAAAGAGCAACTAGAAAGCTTTCAGTTCGGGTTCCCACAGACGGCACCAATGTAATTGCACCAAACCAGAAGTCCTTCTTTAATCCGCGTCTGCACTCCAGGATGACCTGCAAAGCCCCGAGGTGAAACTCGGGGTAGACACTCCGATGCTTAAGTCAGCAATAATCAGGGCTAACTTTAGAGCGGAGATAAAAAGAGCTTAGGGTTGGTTTCAATTACCTTTTGACGTGGCCCGGGGGGGTATTTATAGGATCCAACGAGGAGTCCACGTGGCATGCCAAGCAAGATAATCGGAGCCTGACGTGTCTATCCAGACGATTATTTCGGGACCGGGAATTTGAGAAGTATTCAGGTGCAAGGATGTCCACCTTAATTGCTGTGCAGCTCATCATAAGGGATCAGGTGCGGGCATGCTCATTGTCACTGTCATGCAACTATTTGAGCGAGAAGCTTTAGATTTATCCTTCACTTCGATCATAAAGGAATTACTGTATAAATCCAAGGCTTGGCACCTCGGACCTGTCCTTACAAGTACTAATTATTGTAATTAGGAGTTTTGATTTGCTCCATTTGTGACAAGGTCGATCACAAGGCAACAACAAAACAAAGGGGCCCCCATGGTGCTCTAATATGTAAGAGTGTTAAAACTCATTGATGGTTATGCTAATGAACAAGGGAGTCTCGATGACCATCCTCATGCATTAGGGTTCTCTTGCACCCTAATTAATTAATGCAAGGAATCTTGATGATAATTTGTGTATGGTAGATTTAATTGGCAATAACAATCTTTACATATGCATATATAGGGCTCAACTGATTCTCCCCTTAGGAGCTATTTGGTATGGTGGATGAAAGTATTTGAATTATTAATAATTATTTTTAACCCTTAAATTAAATCTAATCACTAATCATTAATTTCTAACCATTATACCAAATAATTTTTTTATATAACAACTCCAACTAATTATTTTTGCATAATAAAGAGTACCGTTTGACGTTTCCTTTTTAATTAATTTATAATTAACTAAATAATATTGGACTACCAACAAATAGTAAAAATATTTTTTTCCATCTCTATTTTCTTTGCCCGAATTTTTCCATCTATTTTGAACTTTAAGAATTCAAAAAGATTGGTCCAACTGATCAATATGAAAATATGGAGGGTTTAACGGTACCAAAATAATTTAAGAAGAACTAAAATGGAAAATAATTGTTAAACAAGATTTTTTTCCTTTTTTTGTTTTTTTAGACCTCCCGTTCTCATCACGCGGTAGTCCTCAGTACAAAGAGTATCGTTGTCGATGAGACGCATAGTGTCGTCACTATTTGACATCATTTTTAATTTACTACCAAATAAAACATTTTAATATTAATAAAAAATATTATATAATTTAAAATATTAAATAAAATAAATATTTATTTAATATATATGTATATTTTACAATTTGATAGAGTTTCAAATATAAAACAAATATGACAGTCCGTTCCAACCTCAGTGACATGAACTTTAAACTAAAATAATTAATTTTTTGTGAATGACGTATTTAAGTCTTATGGATCTATTTTTTCCTTCCCTTAATTAATACATGTAAATAATTTTAATATTCTCAAAAAATATATAAAATAAGTAACTCTTTAATATTTATAGAATATAAAATAAATAGAAAAATTAAAATACAAGTAGTAGTGCTGTCGTTTCCAAGAGGTTGAGGATTGAGATCAAGAAACCTATCTGGCAATGAGAGGAAGGATGGGGTATATACTGTAGGATATATAAAAAATAAATTAATAAAAACATGGTGTAAGGAAAGTTTTTTTTTTTTAATTGTTGTTGTTGTTTTTTTTTTTTCTTTAAATTAAGAATTTAAAAACAATTTATGTATTTTGTCATATTATCTTAAAAAAA